AGGCTTCATGTGGCGAGAGTATACAGGCAGTTCCTGGAGGATGAAGGAATTGATATCATTGACTGGCCCCCACACTCGCATGACCTAAATCCAATAGAACACCTCTGGGATATCATGTTTCAGTCCATCCAACGCTACCAGGTTGCACCTCAGACTGTCCAGGAACTCAGTGATGCCCTGGTCCATATCTGGGAGGAAATACCCCAGGACACCATCTGTCGTCTTATTAGCAGTATGCCTCGACGTTGTCAGGCATGCATACAAGCACGTGGGGGCCATACAAACTACTGAGTACCATTCTGAGTTGCTGTACCTTTTACACTTTGATTTTTGGGGTGTCTTTGAATTCAGTCCTCTGTATGTTGATAATTTTCATTTCCATCAAATGATGGAGCATCCTTATGTTCCTAACACATTAGCCAGTCCATATCAGTATAGATATCCAGCATGATATGTTTCCCCATTGAGATCTGATGTGTTTTCAAAGTGTTCCTTTAATTTTTTTGAGTAGTGTGTGTATATATATATATATATATATTGTACTATGTATATATATATTTAACCTCCTTTTGACAGGTAGCTGTACTTAAATTGATGGTCAAATCAAATCCCTCCCCACTCCATTCTGAATGAAAACAGTTTTGGGTGTTGTTATTATTATACAGGATTTCTATAGCACCAACAGTTTGCAGAGCACTTTACAATATAAAGGGAGACAATACAGCAACAATACAGTTCAATACAGAAGGAATAGGATGGCCCTGCTCATGGAGCTTACAATCTAAAAGAAGGGGGAGGTGGTACAAAATGTGATAGCTGCAGGGGATGATCTGATGGAGGTGACTCAAGTACAGTTCTTAGGTGGAGGTGGGGTAGGCTTCCCTAATAAAGTGAATTTTCAAAGATCGCCTAAAGGCAAACCGGGTGGGGCCTGACCAGGCATACTGGGGTAGGGAGTTCTAGAGGATGGGAGAGGCTCCGGAGAAGTCCTGGAGGCAAGTGTGGGAGGAGGTGACGAGGGAGCTAGGGAGCAGGAGGTCTTGGGAGGAGCAGAGTGGACGATTTGGACGATAACTGTGGATAAGGTTAGTGGTGTAGCTAGGGGCAGTGTTGTGGATGGCTGCGTATGTTGTGGTTAGTATTTTGAATTTTATACATTGGGTTAGTGGAAACCAGTGAAGGGATATGCAAAGAGGGGCAGAAGTCGCTGATCAGTTGTACAAGTCTAGTAGCAGCATTCATAATAGACTGAAGGGGGGATAGCCTGTGTAACGGTAGGCCAGTGAAGAGGGAGTTGCAGTAATTTGGGGGATATAACCAAGGCATGGATAAATTGTTTTGTGGTGTCATTAGTCAGAATGGGGTGGATTTTGGAAATGTTGCGGAGGTTGAGGCGGCAGGATTTAGCCAGTGATTGGATGTGGAGCCTGAAGGACAGGTCAGAGTCTAGGATTACACCTAGCACCCTGGCATGAGGAGAAGGACCAAAGGTTGTGCTGTTGATCTTAATGGTAAAGTCATGAGTGGGGGATTGGGGGGAGGAGGAAATATTACAACTTGGTTTTAGAAAGATTGGGTTTGAAGGGAGTGGTGTGATATCCACTGAATTTGAGGGCGTGATGTGACATCACTTGCAGCAAGTGCTCTCCTGTGCTGAAACTGATAAGGCCCCTTTCAGACAGGCATTCCAATCAGGTCCGCCTATCAGTTTTGCAGGCGGACCCGATTGGAAGGTCCATTTATCTGTATGGACAAGTGGGTGTAAATTAATCTGTGTCCATTTACACCCGCCTACCTCCAGGTTCCGGAAAAAAAAAAAAAAAGGGGGGGGGTGGACGGGGGGGGGGAACGATTCAGAGGTAGTCAGATGTAAACAGACAGCAGAGTCCACTTATTGCCGGAGACACATAGAGCAGAGCATGCTCTGTTCATGTCCGCTTAGTTTCTGCATGTGTGTTATGCTTACCCCTAACGCAGGTGGTGGTCAGCCACTATAGCTGGATTCTGTGTTCTTCACCTATAGCAGCCCCCTTTCTCATAAGGCAAGCAAGCCTATCGGTACTCAATTGCCCCAGGACTAATACACAATACTATAGTGCCTGGCTAGCACACCAGGGCAGGCACGAACTGAGCACAGCAAATGGGTTCTCTGTGGGGGGGGGGGGGGGGGGGGGGGGGGGGGGGGGGGGGGGGGGGGGGGGGGGGGGGGGAGTGCGCAGACAGGGTTCTTCCTTTAGCATATAGTATTGAAGTAACAATACATGTTTTCAACAGTAAATATTTTTGTTGGGCTTTACTGTAGTTTTATTTTCTAACATGCACAAGGTCAGCTATGTTTGTAATTTTTCTGTTGGGAAAAAATTCAATAATAATCATTTGCAAGTTCAGCACTATTAGAACTGAATGACTCAAGATGTAATTGAAATTTTATTTCTGTAGTCTATTAGATTATTAGAACTGAAATACACATGCTTTTTTTTTTAGCAAATAAATATCTTTTTAAAGATCCAATTAAAACAAGTAAGAAACAGGTTTAAAGTTTCACTTTTAAAATTCAAAATTTGAAATTCTAAAAATTATAGCTTATTAGAATTTATTTCAAATATATTTTGACAACGATGATTTCCTTTTAAAGGGAAGAACATATAAACCTTTCATATGGTGCATAGTAAACCATGGCAGCAAGTAAGAAATTAGCTTTTTACCCCACTGCTCCTTGAATTGCTCTTCGAAAGTACAACAGATTTGACAAGGATGCATTAGCTGTGTATTCAAACAGTGCCTATACAGTATCTGATATCATTTATAACTTAATAAAAATACAAAACATCCCTTTATTTTAACAAAAATATAAATAAATGTCATTGTGTAGAATAGAAAAAGTAAGTATGCTCTTAACATTATTCCTTTTACCATAAAATATTTATTGCAGGCATTTTGTATACCAGTTCACGAATTTCTTAAATTCCTGAAACTTTTGACCACTTTTCCATGTGAAATTTCTTCAGTTGAAAGATTTTTTGGGAGGAATTCTCCCATCAGCTGCCTATTTCAAAATTCCCTGAAATGGGAATGCAAAGCTTCATTACATGATATATATATATATATATATATATATATATATATATATATACAGGTGAAACTCGAAAAAAATTTGAATATCGTGCAAAAGTTCATTTATTTCAGTAATGCAGATTAAAAGGTAAAACTAATATATGAGATAGACTCATTACATGCAAAGCAAGATAGTTCAAGTTGTGATTTGTCATAATTGGGATGATTATGGCTTACAGCTCATGAAAACCCCAAATCCACAATCTCAGAAAATTTGAATATTACATGCAATCAATAAAACAAGGATTGTACATAGAACAATATTAGACCTGTGAAAAGTATAAGTATGCATATGTACTCAGTACTTGGTTTGGGCCCCTTTTGCAGCAATTACTGCCTCAATGCGGCGTGGCATGGAAGCTATTAGCCTGTGGCACTGCTGAGGTATTATGGAAGACCAGGATGATTCAATAGTGGCTTTCAGCTCTTCTGCATTGTTCGGTCTCGTGTCTCTCATCTTTCTCTTGGCAATGCCCTATAGATTCTCTATGGGGTTCAGGTCAGGCGAGTTTGCTGGTCAATCAAGCACAGTAATCCTACGATCATTGAACCAGGTTTTGGTGCTTTTGGCAGTGTGGGCAGGTGCCAAGTCCTGCTGGAAAATGAAGTCAGCATCCCCATAAAGCTCGTCTGCGGAAGGAAGCATGAAGTGCTCCAAAATCTCCTGGTAGACGGTTGCGTTGACCCTGGACTTAATGAAGCACAGTGAACCAACACCAGCAGATGACATGGCTCCCTAAATCAACACAGACTGTGGAAACTTCACACTGGACTTCAAGAATCTTGCAGTGTGTGCCTCTCCATTCTTCCTCCATACTCTGGGTCCGTGGTTTCCAAATGAGATGCAAAAGTTGCTCTCATCAGAAAAGAGGACTTTGGACCACTGAGCAACAGACCAGGTCTGTTTTTCTTTAGACCAGGTAAGACGCTTCTGACATTGTGTGTTGTTCAGGAGCGGCTTGACAAGAGGAATACGACATTTGAAGCCCATGTCCAGGATCTGTCTGTGTGTGGTGGCTCTTGATGCACTGACTCCAGCCTCAGTCCACTCCTTGTGAAAGTCCCCAACACTTTTGAATGGCCTTTTCCTGACAATCCTCTCCAGGCTGTGGTCATCCCTGCTGCTTTTGCACCTTTTTCTTCTACACTTTTCCCTTCCACATAACTTTCTATTAATGTGCTTTGATACAGCACTTTGGGAACATCCAACTTCTTTTGCAATTACCTTTTGAGGCTTTCCCTCCTTATGGAGGGTGCCAATGATGGTTTTCTGCACAACTGTCAGGTCAGCAGTCTTTCCCATGATTTTGATTCCTACTGAACCAAACTGAGAGACCATTTAAAGGCTCAGGAACCCTTTGCAGGTGTTTTGGCTTAATTAGCTGATTAGAGTGGGACACTTTGAGCCTAGAATATTGCACCCTTTCACAATATTCTAATTTTCTGAGATTGTGGATTTGGGGTTTTCATGAGCTGTAAGCCATAATCATCACAATTTTGACAAATCACAGCTTAAACTATCTTGCTTTGCATGTAATGAGTCTATCTCATATATTAGTTTCACCTTTTAAGTTGCATTACTGAAATAAATGAACTTTTGCACGATATTCTAATTTTTCGAGTTTCACCTGTAAATATTTCCAATACATTTCCTTGGTTAAGCAAAATCATCTGTTTCTTTTGCAGATGAGATCTTACTGTAGATCTATGGCTGTGCAATAAACTTTTCCCAAAAGTATATCATTAGCATATAAAACATAAATGTCAAAAAGTCAAATTATAAAATACAACAATACAAGAACTGATACTAAAAATATTTAAGGGCAACAAATCTCAGAAGTACATTTCTCTAAAATTGAACATAAAAGTAATAAAAATGCTCTTACCCAGAAATCTGACGGTTCTCCTCACTAGTGGATTAATATAGCAACAGTCTCCAGTTAAAAGAGTTTTTTCCTGGTTCTCAAAGTCTCTTGTTGCTACCTGTAGGCAAAAGACTACAGTCTCCCCAACGATTATCTAAACAGAAGACATAAACAGAAAGGCACAGTTTTAGAAAGTTATCAAAAAGTGATAGGTATACTGCATGAAACATTTAATTTGATTCAGACTCAATACTGGAGCTTTAGCACAGCACACTGATGAAAATAAAAAAAAAAAACACTGCATATGAAAATTAACAGCTAAGACGTTGATAAGGGCCAACTAATGTTTTCATGTAAAGTGTACTGTTCAGAGTATCTTTGTTAAAGTTTTTATTAGTTTTGTCTGAAAACAAACGTTAGAACAGACAAATAAGAAAAGCGAGCCAGTTTGATGCCATACGCATACATAATATATAACACACGTAACTGATAATGCAAAACAAGAACCTATAGAGATAGCTAACTGTCCAGATACTGTACCTGTGGTCATTACAAAACAGGTAGGTTAGATATATGGAAGTGTAACTGACATAGAGAACCAGGTAGCATCAGCAAGGTAGAACATGGCATTAGGTGCGACTAGGTAAAGGCGGAGTCTTTCAAGTGTTCCAAGCCACAGTCTACTTGGAGCTAACTGGAAATTACAGCCTAGGAAAAACAAATAACTAAAAAGAGTGTAGGAAAAAGGGAAGAGCAAGGTAACAGAGTTGCCCAGTGGAGTCAACTATCTAGTCTCAGACTCAGCCGTGGCAAGAGGTCAGGAAACAAGAGATGTGGGAGATAAAAATAAAGGAAAGAGCAGGAGGTAAGGAGGAAAGAGAATCCCTGAGGGTGGTGCAATCAAAGATCAGATATGCCTGTTTTGGTGTGCTACCATGGTAAGAGTACCAATTCATCATAATCAGGGGGAAGACAGTGCTTGATCCATGGCTGCCAAATTGTTTTTTGAATTTCTTGATCTGGTCTTTTTCTAGGGCTTCCCTTTTGGCGTGTATTATGGTGTGATGCATTCTGTGTTTAGACTCAGCCAAAATCAAAGTTGCAGATTTCCACACCCATGCTATGGTCTGTTTAGCAGATGTCAGAAGCTGAATGAAAAGTCTGAATTGTCTGCATGTCAAAGGCGCTGGAATCAAATGAAGAAGAGCTGTGGTAGGGTCTGGTGGGAGGGCTACCTCAAAGAGGAAAGAGGCTCGTGCAAAAATTTCTTTCCAAAATGATTGAGCCACTGGACATTCCCACCAAATGTGCAAATGTGTGCCCAGTTCTGAGCAGCCACAAAAACAGAGAGCCGAGCTAGTTGGTACATATTTAGCGATTCTAGTAGGCACTAGATACTTAGATACCATCTTTCTAAGACTTTGTAGTTAGCTTCCATCGCAACAACATTGGGTGAAGAGGACTTGGTAGCTTGCCAAATCTCTGACCATTCAGCTGTATCCAAAGAGTGGCCCAAGTCCTTTTCCCACTTTGCAACATAAGAAGGGGTACCCTGGTTAGGTTTGAAAAGGATTTGTGTGTAAAGGGTCACAAGAAAGCCTCTGGCATGAGGGTCTTTAGAACAAATTCATTCAAACTCGTAGAGACGGGTCATTACACTATCTCTAGAGAAGTAGGTGGAATAAAAAAATGTTTATCTGCTGATAACGAAACAGCTTTGAGCATGGGAGACCAAAGGATTTGCAGAGAATGGGGAAGGATAGAAAGGAGGACACACTGACATACTGTTCAGAGTTTATAAAAGGACACAGGGTTTTTAGTTACTCCTTTCCTCCTGTGCCTTTTATACCCAGATCTATGGGTTACATTTCTGTGGGAAACACATCCTTGCCAAGTTGAAGTGCACTTTCCATAATCTTTAAGATGAACCTTTCAGTTACAAATGTACAAGAATAAATTCCTGACGTCACAAAATACAGCAACATTATTTTTCAGAAAATAAGTACCTTTTATTAAAAAAATCAGTCCTTGAACTCCATACAAGTGTAACAAATAGGCTGAGATGATCTTCTCAGTTTGCTGCAGCCAGGTGGAAAAATTTCTTCAGTCACTCACCCCACACCTTTCCCCAAATAATCAGACTGCAACATTGTAGCAAGTCAGAAGGTAAGAGTCAGCAACGTGGGCTGGCGTGTGTGAACACAGTCAGGAACTCTACACCAGAATTTACATGATTGCATAATTTCCGTGAAGCATCATAAGTAGATATTCAAATAATAAATATAATCCCTCGGCATCTCTAGTGTTTAAAAATAAAAGTAAAAGAAAAGCTGGCCACACCTACGTGTACTCAGATACAGTGCTCAGCATAAATGAGTACACCCCAACAGATTTGTCAGAAAATCTTTCCTTTCCTTTCAGAATCAACATGTTCTATGGGACACTATACTGCAAAATACTCCCAGAAATGCGAGCCACTGATTGCAAAAAAGATTTGTTAGTTTTCAAGTCGGAAGGGTTAAGGTATCTGCTGAATCCAGAGGTCTCCTTAAGGATGGATTTAGGTGCTCAGCAATAGGCTATGCAGCGATTCCACGGAATCGCTGCATAGCCTATTGATGAGCACCTAAATCCATCTTTAAGTGGACCTCTGGATTCAGCAGATATCTTAACCCTTCCGACTTGATGACTACACCATAGAGGAAAAGTTCACCGGATTATCCTGTCCATCCATTGATACCTTCATAGTTTAGATTATATGCGCATTTTCAATGCGCTTCCGGTGAGTGCGCACTTTTACTATTAACAGATGTCACAAGTTCAACTGCTGCTGTTTTTCACCTTTTGAGAGTTTATTTATACTTGAACTTTTTACTAACGGACATTTAACATTTTACCTACTGAGATTACTTTTTATGATTGATTTCTATGTTTTTATGTCCTTTTTGCATTACTATATCATAGCGCTACACCCCAGGGGCGGACTGACAACTCATGGGGCCCCCGGACAATAGGGGATCATGGGGCCCCTGTGTCCTTGCCCAAACTCAAAAAAGCCTATAAAAAAAGGTACCAGGGGCATCTCATGGGGCCCCCTACTGACCCTGGGCCCTTGGGCAGTGCCCGAGTTTCCAAATGGTCAGTCCGCCCCTGCTACACTCACTTTCTGTCATTTACCTTTGAGGCTTTTTATTGGTACCTTTGGTGTTTTAGCTGCTGCCAGATTAGGAGCGCTCACTATCCTCTTATATTTAAGATTTGTTAGTTTGCACATGCAAAAAAGTATTTTTCCAAGTAAATTCATTCAAGACTGTGTTGCAAAAATGAATACATTCCAATGAAAGTCTTAGGAGCAAAGCTAAATTTTAGACAACAAAATCCTAATTAACAAGAATCCAACTGCAGGTGAGTATAATTATGCAATAAACAGGTGTCCAGCAGATAGTTGAATATAAAAGGGCTTTACTTAACAAAGAATACCCCTTCCCATTTCATGCTGTCAGCAATGGCACCACACGGAAGAGAAATGTCACAAGGCTTGAGAAAGAATATAATTTCTTACACAAGAAAGGTGAAGGCTACAAAAAGGTCAGCAAAGCTTTACTTATCAGTCAGAATACTGTAGCAAAAGTGATACAAAATGTTAACATAGTTGGAACTGCAACCATCTCACAGAGACGTCCAGGCCATCCACGGAAGTTAATTCCTCGACAGGAGCGTCTTTTGATGAGAAGGGCTGAAGAAAATCACCATGCAAGTTCACTGCAGTTAGCTAAAGAAGTAGAAAGCCACACTGAGGTGATTGTTTCCCAAGATACAATACGGCATACACTGCAGAGGAATGGCATGCATGGGTGTTGTCCACAAAGGAAGCCTGTCCTAAAGCCCATGTACAAAAAATCCCACCTAAATTTGCCAGATACCATGCTGAAAAAGAAGAAGACTACCGGGACTCTGTACTCTGGAGTGATGAGACCAAGATAAATGTTTTTGGAACTGATGGCTTCAAAACTGTATGGTGTTGCAAAGGTGAGGAGTACAAAGAAAAAATGTATGGTGCCTACAGTGAAACATGGTAGTGTCAGTGTCCTTCTGTGGGATTGCAGGAGTGCTGGTGGTGTCAGGGAACTGCATTTCATTGATGGTTTCATGAATTCACAGATGTACTCCTGATCTAATACACACATCTAGGGCCACTGTTGCATTTCTGAAGAAGAACAGGGTGAGTGAAAGTGATTCAGTGGCCAAGTATGTCTCCTGATATGAACCTAATCGAACACCTATGGGGAGTTCTGATGAAATAACTTGAGCATCACTCTCCATTCAGGCTCTAAAAGAGCTCGTTCTTGAAGAATGGAAAAAGATGTTGTAATATGGCACCAACTTGTTCATTTCATGCCTAGAAGACATGGTGCTGTCCTTACAATTCATGCAGGTCACAAAAAATACTAGATGTAGTAGTTTTTGTTGTGGGGTGTATTCATTTTTGCATCAACTAATTTGAGTAAAACTGAAGATTTTGTAATCTAAGTTATATTATTAACCTTACTTTCAACTAATGAGCTAAACAAATGATCTATAAAGCCCAGTTTTGTCCAAATTTTGGAAATTGTTCTTGTGTTCATTGGAATATTGATTAAAATTTTATTTTTCAAAAGGGGTGTACTCATTTATGCTGAGCACTGAAAATGTGCTCTAAACCACAAATAACACAATATTAGTTCTGCGCTTTCCTCACAACGTGAATCAACTCAAATGTGACATTAAGTTCTCAATCAACTATAAATAAATAAACTTCAAGATATATCCTTTATAAATAGCAATCAATAAGTCCCAATTATTCATGAATCCTTCTATACATTTCTCCAAATCACTATATGAGAACTTATTTCCAAATATTACTCCGTGTCTTCATAATATTAACCTGTGCACCTTTACCACAAACACCCCAGAGGTGCCCTCATCTGGAGCTTTTGACCTCGCATAAAAGCTTGGTCTTAGATAGCATCCCTTTGAATGGACTTAAAAGATGCATCACATTCCTTCAAAGATGAATCACCTCCCTTACACAAATCCTCCTCCTTCTTGCTTCTCCATTCTGGAGCTTTTGACCTCACATAAAAGCTTGATCAAAGAACACATGGCTTCCTCAGG